TATGAAAACCGTGCATCATGCACACCTTTGTACTGGCACAGCTCTAACACCCAACTGTTACCTAGGAAGGTCACTAAATCCAACCATCTGCAGTATTTGCTGGTATATTAAGCAGATAGTAGAAGGAACAGGACATTGGAAAGTCGTGGGAATTACAAGCATCAATTCAGCTTCTGTATGTCCTGAAATGCATTATGGCAACATATGACTTTGGTGGCCATGCAAAAGCTATGTCTGTTTTCAGGCCACATATTAAAGTGTTGTTTTTAATTAAACCCATATAGCTGTAAATAGCTTAGGGCCAGGTTACCCAAAAGAGAGTCTTCTCCCATACTTGTCTACCTGGACACTAAGTCATAATCTGAAGCCCTCTTGCAGGTGACTCTACTACTAAATGAGGCAAGCTGACCAGCTACGAAAGAGAAAGCCTTTCTAGGGGTTGTGCTTTGTTTCTGGAAAGCAGTCTGCAGGGAAGTTCACTTAATACCCAAGTTAGGGCGTTTTTCCTGTCAGGTAAACACCTACATTATTCTCCCAGGCATTTTAAGAACTGTTTGCAGTACTTTTGAATAATTGCTGATTTTCTTTTGATTTATATGCTGCTGACTTTATCTTGGTTTTTTAAAGTCTTGTTTTCATATCTTGTTTTATTAGTTTTTTTAAATAGACTGTAAACTGAGAAGTGTGGGTGGATGGATGGTTTAAAACTATCTTAATTAATACTATAGTAAAATCTTCCTTCCCCCACCTTCAAGTTTTGTACCGCCTTACGGCCTTTTAGTATGGGAGCACCTTCAATATACAAAATTGTCTGCAGTGGTAATTTTGCAATCTGCCAGACACTTGTTAAACATAATTCTCATTTTTAATAGGTTCTGTGATGGATTAGCATCCTGTGTGGGCTGGTTCAAGACATTTTGCTGCCTGAGGCAAAGGCCAAGATGCCTCTTTCCCATTCCATATACACAACCAGACTGGAGCAACAGTTGACTTGTATTTGAGTGCAGTCTGTGGGACAATATCCTCCACCACACTCTACTACACTGGAGTAGCTTAGGGGTGCAGGGTAAGCCGAGCTACCTACAACTCTTTCCTCCATCACCTTGCTACCATACCCCACCATCTGTTGTCTGATGCAACCTCTGCATATTTCATTCTACTACATTTCAGAGCACCATTTGGCATAAGGGTTTGGAATTTGCACCTTTTTTCCTGAAAGAGACTCTGTGCTTTTAGCAAATAAAAATTCAGCAAGCTGGTACAAGTATATGGTGTATGCTTGTATAGCTAGGAAGAGGTGTACCAGGAAGAGCTAGCTTTCCTGGTAAAGTTCAACCTGATAGCCGTATATTGTAAGGTACAGCTGGAAAAAAGGGGCAGCCTTGTAATGGCAACAAAATCTTTCTTTCAAATATGTAAAAGAAACATTAAAACATTTTGTTAGGAAAATATTCAGGATAGTAGCAAAAAGCTATTAAGGAATCAGTACCACTCACCCTGAAATCAGCTTTCTCTGTGATTCCTTGTTGGCTTAGTACAAGTCAAAGCTGAACACTAGTTGATATTAAATATTTGACAGTGGACAAGAAATTCAATAAACAAGTATCAAAATAGTGCATCATCATGGTAGGAGGAAGGCAGACAAGTCAATTCTGCTGTCACATCCCTGGGATACCCACAGAAGGGCCAAGGGAGAAGGAGGAAGGGGACAAGTCACTGTGAGTCTGATTATCTGTTGGGTGGATTGCAGGTTGCATCATGAACAATCCACTCTGCACAGCTTATTTGCAGGCTAGGCTAACATGATATACAAACTTGCCCAACATATCCCCTTGTTCTGTTACTTATTGATTGCTCACATTCCTTGTTTCTGTTTTCTTTCACCTGTTCCTACTTTCCAGGACCTATACTTGGGCATATTTGCAAAGGCATACCTGTCCAAATGATTCTATCATTGCTTGAATGCCTAATGCCATGTCCTTATTCAGATTGTACTGACATAGCAGTTAGTGAATCCTAATTGTAAATATGTATGAGTTGGCACAGCAGGTCATAAGATTTTGCTGAAAATACAGTAACAAGAGGTTCTTTTTATTTCACAGAAACTTTGTGTCATCGACAAACACATTTTTAAGCCAGGTGTTTGTCCTCTGGCAAGAGCTTGTTTTGGCACATGCAGACATAATGCTTAGTATAATTAAGATCTAACCAAAGCAATCCGACATTCTGTGCACATGATACTGTAGATTATAATATTATAATATTGCAAATGTATGTATGAAACATATATTGACTAGTGTTTTACATACTTGCCTAGGCTGTAATTGTTTCCTCTAAGGATTACACAGAGAAGGGTCGAGGCAATGGAAAGCAATCTATCACTACCAGACTATAATCCTATAATCTATCACTACCAGACTATAATCCTATAAATATTTCAGGGGCTCAAACCATTGAACACAGTGGGATTTACTTTCAAGTTAACATGCATAGGTTTTCAATACATCAGCTGTTTACTAAATAGTCTCTCCTGATGTAAGAGGTAATTAACATGCTTCGGAGACAAACCACCTTTCCGTACGGACTACTCCAAATAAACCAAGGGAAAGTGAAAGGGAACACTTGTATTTCCTTTAGTCAAGCACTGCTTCCAGTAATGAGTTTAACATGCCTTATGTAATATGTGTTGGGTTTTATTTAAAAATATATGTAAGAAAATTCGTACATTAAAATCTCGAATTTCTTTTTAAAAAACAGCTTTCAGGACAATGCCTTTTGAAAACAGTAACAAAAACAAAAGCTCCAGTGTACTAGCAGCACACAAATACATGAATTTGGAATATGCTTCTTCAATACTTTTGAAGCCAATTCCCTAAATTATAGGATAGGAAGAGGCTCTAGGGTGGTCTATCATTGGACATAAACTGGTTTAACCTTGTAATTTTGGTAAGTACCTTCTGTGCTACAAAACTTACTTAGTACCATACTGCCCAAAGTATTGGTGGGTCTTCTGCCATGAAACTGGTATAATTGTGCATATGTCTGATGGGATTCTGAAATAATGGTGAATGCCTGCGTTGGAGGAGATGATTGACACGTTACAGGGCTTTGCTAAAGTATCTGTTTTCATCAAGATTTAACGCTGAAATATCTTAACTAAGAACAGATGAAAATATCCCTACAGGGTGCTCTTTCCTTACCAGTGACTAACTAGTTTGTCCTAAGAATGAAGAAGAATTTCCAGACAGATCTGACCAACATCTCTGATTCTGTCACATGATGGTTTCCTGAATGGGCACATCATATAGAGTTCCAAGTAAAAATATAGCATTTTCTGCACGTAAAACACTGTGTTGCAGCCTCCTGAGTTGTATACCCTTACACTAAAGAAGTTTTTCCTGCGCAGAGAAGGTGATGGGCTTTTGCTTTGGATGGAGCTTTGCCTTTCTAATTTGAAATAAGAGGCTTTTTTTGGCCGCTGTCAGTCTTACTTGTATTAGATACTCTGGCCCATTCCTTCTTCACTGTAGGGATTTCAGATTCCTTCCCATCAGTTTTATGAACTACAATCTGCAGGAAATGTTTGAAAATAACTTCAGCTATGGTCCTTTGCACCATCACCGTTAGAAAGTGGTTGAAAGCAACAATAATCAAGTTTGTTTTTAAAAAGTTCCCCACAGTATGCAGTTCACAGAATCCTCCTTATGCAGAATAAGAAGGGGGAATTTCATATGGAAGAATGTAAAAATTAAAAAAACCCTGAAACAAAACAGGCAGAACTAGAAACTCTCTTTTGTTAGTGCTCCAAAAATATGGAGTCTTGCAGTAACTTAAGACAATCACGTTTATAGCATATGTTTAGTAGATGTATTCACTGCATCAGATGCATGTATAATTATGTTCAGCATGTATGGATGTAGATGGAGTTTGGCAGGGGTAAAGAGGATGAAAAGTTTATGACAATGCCACCAGAGTACATACTATGATCAAAAGGATTCACAGTTCCAAAGATGAATCACAAGCCTCTTTTCCTATAGCTGTGATTACTCTTGTGAATAGTAACTTAATGGTGCAATCCTGTGCATGTTTCAAGAGAAAACAGCTCCCAGTGGTATGATATTTCTTTATCTACACATATATAGAATTGCAACCTAAAACTCCTTAAACCCATCAATATTTAGTCGACAATATAATCTTGTCTGCATGATGCAATCTTTAATTTTGATTTCTCAAATAGATTTCAATATAAGAGAATGCCATCATCCAGTGTCTTGTTTAATGCAGTCATGCCAAAGAGGCCACAAGCACTGCATACATCAATGAAAATTCAGATACATAACTCTTATATACCCACATTATATATTTTTATTTTTACTCAGCAGATCTCTAAGAGTAAACAAACAACTTAAACTCACCATGCCTCAGTCATGTCTTATGAGGGGGAGGGGGGTCATACATCTTCTACGTCTTAGGTTTATTCTCATTATAAATAGCAGTTGTAAACTGGTGGGATTCCCTTGATTGTTCATCTGAGTCTTAAAGCATCATCTGTTACGTACCATGTTTCAGATTACATTCACTATTATAGGGAATCTATATAGATCACTATATCATAGATCTGTCTTTTTACTGGGCCCCTAAGCGCTTTAAAAAATACATATTACTTCATTGGAAATCTTCCGTACCACCCTTAACCCTATTTTGTTTCAGTGTTGATATTGATTCCTATTTCCTTCCACCATTCCTGCCTCGGCTCAACTCTGCAGTTAGGAACCAGAAGTCTCTCTATCACATCTACGGAACCGCAGCCCTTAACAAAAACAAACCACCCCTTCCCTACTTCTCAAGACAGCGCCTGCTTTTGGTAGGCTTGAACGGCTGCATGTAAACACAGCAGCGCGCACTTATTGGTTAGATTTCGTTTGAGGGCGGAGCCGGAGGCGGGCGTGAGCGCAGACCGAGGAGATATAAGAACGTTCTCTGCCGTTACTCGCAAAGCCCGAAAAGGTTTCAGTGAGGGGAAACGTGCTGGTGGGCGGGGGTGCGCAGCCCAAGCAAGCCGGTGGTACCAGTTAGGGCTCTTCGGCGTCTGCTTTCGCGACGAGACAGCGGCCATGCTGTGCTATGTGACCAGGCCAGACGCAGTGGTGATGGAGGTGGAGGTAGAGGCTAAGGCCAACGGCGAAGATTGCCTCAACCAGGTGAAGAGCCGCGCGCTCCCCCGCTCCCCCCTGCTCGTCCCCCCATATGTTCTTGAATGGCCGCTGAGGCAGCTCGAGCCGGCTAAGGGACTGCTTTCGCGCATTCTCCACGTGACTCGAGATTCGAGGTCCAAATGGCAGTGTCCCCCGCGCCCCCTCCCCGGCGGTCGTGCGGCTCATTCACAAACACTGCCGGAACGGCTGGCGCGGCGCGAGGGGTGATGGGCAGCCGCCGCCGCCGCCGCCGCCGCCTTTCTCTACGCTCAGTGGAACACAGACCGAACAGTTGGGGAAGGGGAGACGTGAGGAGAGGAGGGACGTAAGGGCCTCCGCTCCGCAAAGCCCGCGGTGTCGCCGCTGCTGTTATTGCTTCCCACGCGTGGGCGCTGAGCCTCTCTCCCCTCCCCCCAGTTCTTGAAAATTCCCTTAGAACCCATTTCAGCAGCATCAGCCACGTGGCATTTGCGTGGGGGGGGGCGAAGGTACCGGTGGGTGGACATCTCCCCCGCTTAATATTTTCTCCCCTCGGAAACACCCTGTTGTTGTGGGAAGCGTGGAAACTAGACCGATGGAGGCTTTCGTGTTCTTTGGTGCAATGTACCTGCCATTTCTGATCCTGGCAGCACTGAACCGTCTGACCTTAGTGTGCCTTTGGAGGAACCTTTCATGCCTTAGTGCAGCTGTATCCATTTTTTGTACTTGTTTAACCCAATGAGTTGGCCCAGATATTCAGGCTTTGTTGCTTTGGGATGGCGAGGGGAGGGGAGACTGAAGTGTCTTATATACTCTACCAAGAAAGGTACCCTGCAAGTCTGATGCAACAAAAGCCACAAAGACTCTTGTGACAACTTGAAAGTTTAAGAAATCCATTATGGTATGAGCTTTTCTAGACTGCAGTCTATCGAACTGCTGGGTTTTGGTTGTTTCTTAGGAGTGCTGATGTATACAATTACAGCTCTACAAATACGTGGCATATTGTTAAATAGTTCTGAGATGGTTCATTAAACTGATCGTACTTGACCCTTACATTAACTTTCATGATTTCATTTTTAATCATAGGTTTGCAGGCGGTTGGGGATTATAGAAGTCGATTACTTTGGACTCCAGTTCACAGGTAACAAAGGAGAAAATTTGTGGTTGAATTTGCGAAACAGAATATCCCAGCAAATGGATGGTCTACCTCCTTATAGATTGAAGCTGCGTGTCAAATTCTTTGTGGAGCCACATCTGATCTTGCAAGAGCAGACAAGGTAAGGGAAAATATCCCCCCCCCATGATCCCCCCCATTTGGATAGTATTTTTGGACCTAAGCAAATGCACAGTATAACTTTGGCTTGTGGCTTTCAATATCACTTTAATCTGCAATGTTGAATTGAAAATGTACTAAAATGTGTTATTGTAAAAGAATATTATGAAGAAGAAAAAGCACTTAACAATTAATGCCCACGCATGGACTCTTACAGTGCCTTACCTAATTATAGATTTCCTTTTGCAAGTGGAAGAAGTGGAAGAAACATGAAGTATTTGTTTCAGTGGCCAATAGTAACCTCATGGCAGTGTTATTACAGGTCATTTTAAATTGTTCATAGCAGGAAACTGTTCTTCCAGTGTTCAGCTTACAGAACTCCTCCATCCAATCTGATATCAAGTTACAGTAATGTTTCACGTGACTGTAGGCCCTATTTCAAACCACAAAGAGAAAACAGCTGTTTTTTTTTTCTTTCTTGGGAAATATGAATTTAACATATGTGTTTTAATCCTAAACTTAAATCTGAACACTCAGAAAAACAGCACAATTATCTGCTAAAACACATTTGGAATTCAGCATTTATTCACTGCGCTGCCTATTTAGGTAGTATTTGTAGTAGAAGTTCACCCATGCTATAAAATCCTTGAGATGAACAGTTCCATGTTGAGGTATAAAAGTATGTTAAGAAGCTTTTTTTAAAAACTACTTGTGCTTGCTATATAGCATCCTTATTTCCAAGCTCTAGTCTGTTTAATGGCTGCAGATAATCACAGGTGTTCTGTAAACGTATTTGTATTATTTTAGTGCTTTGTATTTGATCCAGACATGAGTTACCTGACAAGTAGCTTCCTAGACCCACTAGTCAGTTTGTGCTGAGGTGCATACGTTCAAAGAATGGGAGGGCTACTAATATTTTAGGGATTGTGTTGTGCTTGAACTAATAATGCATCTCAGGTCTTTCTTACGTGCGCTAGTCTTTCATGTATTTCAACAGTAGTTACTGTGAAAGCTTTCTCTACATGTGATGGAAGAGTATTTCTCCCATGAATTGTTTTGCTTAGTAGAATCTATCCAAGTTGTGCTCCAGTACTATACTAATGTGTTGTGCAACATAAGCAGTGCTTGCTGTAACAATGCTGTAACAAATCAATCTGCCATTACCCTAGTAAACACTACTTAGGTTAGATATGCAGTGATTTATGCTAGCATAACATGATTGGCAGTAATGGTCAGATACAGTTGGGTACTACCCTATGAATGGGCTTGATTAGCCCCAGAGAAGAAAAAAGGAAGCATTTTGGTTCTGTGAGTTAATTCAGGATTCACATTTTAGTTAGTATTTCTTCTTTGTTTATTTGGTGCCATTGAAAAAGAATAAGCAGACTTTTCTGATAGTACTGGAAAGAATTTTCTTGCACTTGTATAATCTGATTGCTGGTCTACCCAGATGATGTATTGATATAGAATAAGATTGTTCTCAGTACTTTTTTATATTAAGTTTTATTGTTATTTTTCTACTTACTACTCAGTACTTGAAGTAGTCATCGTGTGAATATGAGTTATAATGAGAAGCTTTTCATGAGATGGCTCTTGTGACAGGTTCTTTACATTGCAGTGGCCCAAAGCTGCAACATTCTGCACACATGTCTGAATTATATTATATATTGAAGGTGGAGTTGTCTGCTTTGATCCATTTTTAATCCATGACACTGGTATGGGATTGGGATATTAAATAAGATACTTTGATTAGTGTTTTCAGCTCAAAAGCTTGAGTGAAACCTTGCTGTGGCAAATCATTCTTATTAAATCTACCTGTATTTCAGCATAGTGATTCACATCTTGGGGGTGGGGGAATCAGAACAGTGTTCAAATTCAAATATCAAGTGTATGTGCATTTTCAGTATTTCTTAGTATTTGTGGCAACTGAATAACTTGCTGTTGAAAATATTGAAAGATCCTTCCTTGTTTTTTCTATATTAAAACAGATACGATTTTAGGCAAGTATCATCTATAAAATTAGGGAAATTATCTGTCTGCTGGTGTTCCCCTGAGGAATTTAGGGAAGCTTATGAGACACTCCCCAATTGTTTTTGTTTTTAAGTCAACCAGGATAGTTACCTAAAAATCCTGAGGTTCAGAAGTCAATTGTAATGTGAAAGTGGAAACTCAAAACTTGCTGTAGGCGTGCCTTTTTTTTGTACTTGCTAAAACTCTGGCTTCAATTAAGGAAGTATGACTTCTGCTTCAGAGACAGAACAGTGTTACTATAGGTCATTGACTGAACGTAACCTTTGTTAATAGCGGCTAGGCTGTTCTACCAAATCAGCAACTGCTGCATTGGAAGAAAGCCAAATTTCTGGAGAAGTTCAACTCTTCATTGGTCTGCAACAGTTGCCTAGGGTGGAAAGTTCTGCTTTTGTAGTTTGAAGCTTTTTGTAAAGCCAAGTAATAGTCAAAAGTTCTGTTCTCTTTGGAATAGCAGGCAAATATAGACATTAAGTAAACAAGCTTAAATGCATATATTAAATTTTATCCAGTTTATGGCATTAAAATTCCCTTTTTGAGTTAACTAAGAATACTTTGGTACTGAAATACAGTATTTTATGTTAAATGAGTCATCTGAAAACTAAATAGCTCAACTCAAGTAACTATGACAAAACCAAATACATTTCGATGTTACATTATATAATCTATTGAATTTAGTGTTCCTCATATTTGAAGACTACAAAGACAGGCCAAAAGCTTGATTTTGAATATTTTGCTACTTGCCTTCAAACAAAGCAGGTTTCACTAAACATTTACATACATAAAGTATTTCTCAGTTTGTAATTCACAATCCAATTATGTGCACATTGAATTAGATAAAATGCCTTATCTAAGTACAATAAAGTCTTGTGGCTTTTGCTGAGACTAGCACGGACTACATCCAGCTGTGTTGAACAGCCGGTCATAACCTTTCTCCTAGTTAATCAGCAGTGCTGAAAAAGCCTGGCAATCTTGCATGCTGTGCAGATGTGTCTCATATGATATGGCTAGATGGTATTATAAGCTACTGTCCTATCTACTTTCCATCTGCTAAGATTCTTACACGCTGGTCTAGATAAACTGAGGCTGCTTCACATTCTTGCTCTCATCCTATGGTGATATATTCTGTGTTTTCTCTGCATCCTTGTTGCAGTCTGTTAAAATATCAGAGGCCTAGTTGTTTTATAACCTAAATATTTGGTGTGTGTATCACCCCTGTTACTGCACAGGGAGCTTTTTTTTTTTTTTTAAATGCAAATGTTGGGCCATATCTTGTACTGTCACGGTATTCCTGCTGCTGCTTTTGTGCTAGTGGAACCCATTGCTTGCACAACAAGAACTAGGAGTTGAGACAGCAATCCCAGATGTGACAATTTCAGGAATAGTACAAGTTAATGGAACTTTCTATTACTCAACTTTCACTTTCTACATGTGAACCCAAGTGTACTGTAGGATCCAGGCTTAGAATAGATGTACTATGATCAATATATTGGTCTGGATCAGAGGTGGGCAATTAATTTTCCTATGGGGCCACATGAGAAACTTTGACAGTTGTTAAGGGCCAGACCAATACACTTACAGCTCTGCTCAATATATATCTCTATAAAAACAGTAAATGAAACATTACAATGATACAATGAAAATGTAGAGCACAGAACAACACTATTTAATGAATAGTCACAAAAACATTAACATTTACATTACACGAAAAGCAATAAATTCAATTCAAGTTAGCAGATCCTTCAAAATAAAAGCAGTGCAGTTGTATTGCTTACATCTGTATTACGACGATATATACATGCATTGATTTTAATTTGCCAGTGACCTCATGCGGGCCAGTCAGGGTCAGCCATTGGGCCGGATGTGGCCCGTGGACCGTAAAATGCCCAGGTCTGGTCTGGATCCATTCTCTTAGTTTAAAATATGCAGGTTGATATCCAGAAGAGCTATGTGCAGAACACTGCATGATTGCACATGCTTTTCTTTCTGCTTCTTACAGAGCCCACTTGTTCATACACCCAGAAACTTGCTTGAAGATCAAGAGACATCAGAGCAGGATGTGACATGGTGCTAGGGGATTCAGTTGGGAGGAGAACCAAGTCTCATTTCTATTTTCTTGAGAAATTGCTGAACACAATGTTATTGACCATGGTGTTCTTTAGAAACTTACACATGAGTACTAAGTGTATTTTGGCAACAGATTTGGGAGACAAAGATGGTTGTCTGCATTCTAATAAATAACATTATTTGGAATATTCATGAGGGCTTTTAAAAGTTCATTAATGTTTAATATTTGCAATACACCCAGATATTAATAGGCTCAATGGTGCTTCTCATTTGGTGTGCAAGAGTATTCATGGTCTTTCCTGATATATACGATAGAGTATTAGGTTTGTAACAGAATTCTTCCCTTCATTTGTGTTTAAGAAATGAACTTTCTAGGGCAGTCATCCCAACCTGGTGGCCTTCAGAGACATTTGGACTGCAACTCCCAGAATACCCATCCAGTGGGACCATTGACTGGGAATTCCAGTTGTTGTAGTCCAAACATGTCTGGAAGGCACAAGGTTGGGAAAGGCTGATCCAGGGAGCATCTGTGCAGATTTGATGTAGTTGTAATGGTGGAACAGCTCATAATACTGTCTCTTTTAAATGTAAGCCCCCCTATTCTTTCTGTTTGGAACCACTGAGTTAGGTCCAGTATTTTTTTATACTTGGGTAGACCACAAATCACTGGGAATAAAGTTAATTGTAACATTTAAGTACTATTTCCATCCTATTTGTATACTGTAAGTAACCAGTCCAGCCCGTTGATTTTCAGAGGAGCTATTCCTATCAATTTATTGGAGTCCTGTTTTTGATTTTTTTTTTCCTCCACTATTCATCAGTTATGACTGGAACTTTGAAAACCAAAGTTAAAACACTTTTCCCCAAATAACCTGTGCAGATATATTCCTGTCTTTTCTTTAAACAAATTTTAGAATGCTGTTCAGTTCACTCCAGCTTTCAATTGAATACTGTTTCTGCATTTTAATTTCTTTAAATGAATTAATTTTGGATTTTGTTTTGAATCACCTCGGTATTCTGTAGTTTAATTCCAAGTTAGGAAAATCAGAAACTATTCTTTGAAATTAAAAAGCAGGAACAGAGCTATTATATCAAACGTTGAACATGTTTTACATTTTCCAAAGCCTAAATTTTTACACTAAAATATTTAAACTTATTTCTTTTTTCAGGCACATGTTCTTCTTGCATATAGAGGAGGATCTTCTGGCTGGTAATCTTCAGTGTTCTTCTGAGCATGCAATTGAACTTAGTGCACTGCTTGCCCAGTTGAAGTTTGGTGATTATAATCAAAATACTGCCAAATACCACTATGAAGAGCTCTGTGCAAGGGAGCTTACAACTGCTATTTTGGACAGGTAAGAGGACTTGTTTCTTAAGAACAGGACATGGCATAAACACTTGTTCAAATGCTCCATAGGCAAAAACACTACAATGACAAGACATGCTTGGTATGTTTGCAGGCTTGATGTTACTACAGTACTCATTAGGTTTAAGGATGTTCATTTTGGTAACAATTTGTTTTTAGTGTGCTAGTACAATAAATAATATCTCAGATTCTTAAAAGTGATAAAATATTGGAAGGTGGCCTGGTTTTGTTGCGAAAATTAGCATGTACTTAACTTTACAAGTTAAATGTCCTAATCTTTCTACAGTTTGATGAATTATGAACTCTGCCTAGATGTTTAAGTAGTTACAAACAATCCAAAATAATACAGGAAAGCTTAAGTTAGAGACATAAAAATTTTGGCATGCCCAACCCTCAGACTTCTCCATATTTACACCTTCTAACCAAAATAATAAATTTAAAATTAATTTTAGAGGTGTTATTTTTTTTTACCAAAGCATTGCTTATACATTTGTCTGAATTAATCTATTTTCATCTTCTTGCTGTTCTACAGTATTACAGCAAAGCATAAAGAACTTGAAGGCCTCAGCCAAGCTTCAACAGAATATCAAGTTTTACAGATAGTGTCAACACTGGAGAATTATGGGATAGAATGGCATTCTGTCAGAGACAGTGAAGGGCAAAAACTTTTTATTGGTGTAGGCCCTGAAGGTATTGCCATATGTAAAGATGATTTCATTCCTATCAACAGGTAATTACTTAAAAGATCCATCTGAAAATATTTTACACATAAAGGGTCAGAAACCTATGGGGAATACTTCTTTTTTAAGAGTGGTGTGGAATGAATTCTTTGTGTATTGTTGCTAAAATTGTTTCATTCAGATGTATTTTTCCAAAAAGAAATGGTGATTTTCAAATTGCTCTAGATTTAGTAACCACAGATTATGACTTTGAAATGACAGGGGTTATTTCAAGGTACAGGTTAAGCTAGTCTTTCTTCATGAAGTACCCTCCAGATATTCTGGTCTGAAATTCCCATCAGCACCAGCTATAGAATGACTGCATAGTCTGGGATGACAGGTGTTATAGTTTAGAACATTTTGAGAAAGATAAATTAATTTGTCAAAATTGTTTTTGTTCTTTAAAGAAGTACACAGCATGGCATACAAATTAGTTTAAGCCTTTATTTCTTACTGCCAGTCCTTAGCTGGTCCCTGGCTGCTCATTGCAGCTTGTTTAGTCTAATAGTACATGGCTCATGATTTAACTCTGGTTTCCTTTTAGAATTGCATATCCAGTTGTTCAGATGGCAACACAGTCTGGGAAGAATGTGTATTTGACTGTGACAAAGGAGTCTGGCAATAGTATAGTTCACCTTTTCAAGATGATCAGCACTAGAGCAGCTAGTGGACTGTACAGAGCAATAACAGAAACACATGCATTTTACAGGTTTGTACTTCTAGAAGAAAAAATAAGTTAAAATTGTAAATTAATAGCTGGATGCCAAATACCAATGCCTTTCTTTCCTACACAAAGTCTTTAAACTTCTGTTTTTATCCAATGAAACTGTTGTTCTGTATCCCATGGAGTGCATATGTCCCAACCAATTCCCTTCTAAAGTAGTGGGTTGTACCAATTCATTTGTGGAAGTGGGACCCACAACTTATAAAGCAGATTTAGTGCTTTCTAGCTTAAATGTTATGTGAGCTACACTGATTTGCTTCTTTGCAGAAACAAGCATTTGTTGCTTATTTTGGGTTGCTCCCAGAAGTGCTAAATCATTGTTGCACAGGCATTTCAGGCTACTTGTGTAATGGGATTGGCAGGGCAGAAAGAAATTAGTGGGGCATAAGCATCCCATTAGAAGCTGCCTGTTGTGTAAACGTTAATGTTCTGTAAAATACCACTTTTTATTCTGCACCAAAATACACTCTTGTTGCTTAGATGTTTTGCTCTTAAGAGTGGAATGTAATGTGGAGAAATGCTTTTGTATAACACAACTTGACCCATTCTCTTCTGGGAATTTGAATATTCAAGCTAAACATACTGTTTTGCTTTTGCATGGTCTCCCATATTTTCTTTCCAGTTATGACACTGAAATCTTGAGACTAAACAGAACTAAGAATGCCATGTTTTTATTCAACTTAAGTTATACTTTCAATTTTCCCCCCCAATAGGTGTGACACTGTTACTAGTGCTGTTATGATGCAATACAGTCGAGACTTAAAGGGACATCTAGCATCTCTGTTCCTGAATGAGAATATTAATCTTGGCAAAAAGTATGTATTTGATATTAAGCGGACTTCTAAGGAAGCTTATGATCATGCAAGGCGGGCCCTTTATAATGCTGGTATTGTGGATCTAGTTTCAAAAAGTGACCAGAGCCCTCCCAGTTCTCCCCTGAAGTCTTCAGAAAGCAGTATGAACTGTGAAACCTGTGAGGGGCTCAGCTGCCAGCAGACGAAAGCTCTTCAAGAAAAGTTACGGAAGCTTAAAGAATCCTTGCTGTGCATGGTGTGCTGCGAAGAAGAAATAAATTCAACATTTTGTCCATGTGGTCACACTGTCTGCTGTGAGTCATGTGCTGCACAGTTACAGGTAACTGTAAATTCACTTGCAATAAAACAGTATCATGTGCTTAATTACTTTCTTTCAAATACATTGAAGGTTCATATTTAGAACAAGATGTCAGAACTATTAAAAAACCCCACACCAAACGCATAGGGCAGAAAATCAGTTCACAGCATTGTTACATAGCCTGATAGCAGTGTTTAGCCAAGTATCATTTAGAATTAGTGTAGTGGTTAAGAGTATGGGACTGGGACTCTGACAACCTGGGTTCTAGTCCCCGCTCAGCCATGGAGCCAACTGGGTGACTTTGGGCCAGTCACAGACTCTCAGCCCAACCTACCTCACAGGGTTGTTGTTGTGGGGATAAGATGGAGGAGGAGAATGATGCAAGCTGCCTTGAGCCCTTTGCAGGAAAAAGGCAGGATATAAATCGAAAAATAAATACAGTGAAGAAAGAAAGGTTGTACTTTAGTAGTTGTCAACATCACTGTTGGCCTTGTCAGACATTTGGTAATGCTATTTGGTTTCAACGTAGGCAGGCACATAATTGGTTGAATTCAGAAAAAGATGACATGAATGTTTCAGTGAAATTGCTACAAATGTTGTATGCAAGTCTGAACTTTTTTGAACCCTACAGTTCTTGGAATTTAGTATTCCAGATAAGTTTTGTACCATTTTAATTTCTTTAAAAAATCCTAATAATACAAATAAATGTATTTGTATGAAGATGTGTGATTTCACCTTAGATTTTTAAGAAATCTAAGAACTAAAAAAACCTAAGATTTTTAGATTTAAAGGGAAGCATATACTTGTTAGTAATGATCTTACGAAACAATTAAGGATTGCACTGTGATAAGTACTTTTTGAAATAGGTATATTTCTGTAAACAGAATATTAAAAAATCAAATTATGTAAATTAACACAGATTTTCATTTGCTAATACCAGTTAATCAGTATTCTAATTTGTTCTCTCCCCCGCCCCCAGTCATGTCCAGTTTGCAGGTCTCAAGTGGAGCATGTACAACATGTATATTTGCCAACTCACACAAGTCTTCTTAATCTGACAGTAATATGACCTTCATGTTATTGCTGGAAACTATACATCATACAAGCTTCTAAACTGCCCTGTACTTCCAGACTGCACTAATGTTCACTCCAACTCTGTCAGCGGTAAAGGAGAGCAGTCGTTTCAGCATCTCCTTGCAACTTATACACAGAAAGCTGTTAAGGAACAGTGGGGAGGGTGAGCAGAATGGGGAGCAAGTTTTGTTCAAATTGTTTGAGAATATGTTTTAGCGGGGTGTACTGTGAATGTCTTATGGACAACCTCATGTCACCTGAAACAACATTTCTAAAATGGCAATATTCTGAAAATTTGAAGAGGAGATGGAAAGTTTCTCTGTAGTATCCAGCAGGGGCAGCCCAGCTTCTTTTATGCATTTTATAAAGATTTTATTTTTAAGTACTTTATTTAGCATGTTCACTCCATTTACCTTTTGCGGAAAATAGTTTTTAATACCTACAACTGTTGTAGAATGGTAATTTAGTTTTTTCCATTTAGTCCTTGAAGTAAGACATTATTTTTAAGTTGATTTATTTAAGAACCTAAGATTGCAAAGCTTTAAACAAATAGCTGTGTTTGTTTCAGCAAAAATAGAATACATTACTCACAAATTACTATCAACATTTGAATATGTTTTATAACCTCTTGGACATCTGAGAGAAATCTGAAGAAATTTAAGAATTGTTAATTTGAACATCTGTAGAAACATTTTTCTTTTTCAAGAATATCAGTTCCTGTTTATTTGCCTTGTATTTAGAGAAACATTTCCTTGACCAGTATAATCTTTGTATAGTTTTCTAAGATGCATTTGTGACAAATGACTTTGTAAAAACCATCTTACCTTTGACCACAAACCCTATTCCTGGGCATTTTGGACTTTGGTCAACTAGTTGAATGCTTCAGAATATTGAAAACTAAATGGCCGTGTTTGGGTGCAATACTAGCTGAAACAAAAGCTAGAAAAGTCACTTTACTGAGACTTTCTGAATATGCTTTTCATATTGCCTTAATGTAGCAGTAATGTGTGTATGCATTTGTTTCTTTGCACAGACATTTTGTCAAAATATTAAAACTCTACTTTTTTATGGCACATTAGCATATAAATCTTATGCCAGAAGGTATTTATTTTTTCACTTTGTAAAGTTTTGTTTCCACATGAAACAAGAGCTCCTGTATGGTAGAAAACTTGTCTTTTTATATATGCAGGTTATTAAAGGACTTTTAAATAGAATTTGGCATTATTTTATTTGCCCATTAAGTTAGCATAGAAATGATAACTAAATTTTCAGTTCATCCCATGACTAAGCTTGGCAATCCTTTACACTTGGCTGGGGTTTACTTTATACAGCATGATCTGATCCATGTTTATTATAGAGATGCATTACCAGACACTTGTAGCAAGCAGTAAGATGCTGGAAATTAAGCTATTGCCCCTATTTTGTATATTCCCTGCATTCAAATATTACCGATGCAACATGATCCATGCAAAGATAAGATTAGATACTTGCTAGCATGGATAATGTTAGGTAGTACAGTGGTACCTTGACTCATGAACTTAATCTATTCCACAACTCTGCCTGCAACCTGAATCGGTCGTGAGCCGAGTCAAATTTCCCCATAAGATTCAGTGTAAATAAGGTTAATTTGTTTTAATCACAAAAATTTGAAACAAAGTACAGTACAGTAGTGAACACTAACCTAGGGGTGGGGGAGGTTATTGTTTGGCGGGAGAGTCCAAACAATCGTCTGATAGCAATTGTGCTGGGGTGGGGAGACTGGCGCGATTGTGCTTGTGGGGGGAAGACAGGCAAGATCACGATCATGCTCATACATAGAAGATGACTGTTGCTGCACGAACACGATCACATAGCTGCGATTGTGGTCTCCACCCAATGCGGAGTTAGCGAATTGAGGCAAAATTTTTCTGAAATTTCTGTTCGCGACTTGATTTAGTCATGAACTGAGGCGTTCGTGAACTGAGGTACCACTGTATAATCCTTATCCGACAGCTATTGTTCAGTAGCTCATCTAAACACAGGCCCAATTGCTCCCTTTTTCTCTTGAATAATGAAAAGCTGTTCTTGGCCCTAAAGGGATGGAAAGTAACATACGCAGTAAGGCAATTGACCAGCCAGTTGCCAGAAGTTAATGTGATGAGATGAAAAAAGAAATATAATGACCAAGTGCACTGTTTTGTGCAACGTGGTCGACTTATATGCTATATAACTCACAATGAGCTATAAAGCATTGGTGTCTACATGCTGCCAACTGTTTGAACATACATGGGGGGGGGCAGGGTAGCACCATATGCAAACTCAACCACTGTGGTTTACTTGAGGGTTGAACATCTCATAAGAAAGGGTTATGTATAATATTAGGTTTGTATGACAGTGTAACCTGTCACCCTAATTGGATTGTATATTTAAGATGGGGACAAAATGTATTTGCAGCTCATTGAGCATTAAATGATCTATGATAATTCAGCCATATTGTGTAAACCAGATCAATAGAAATACACTATGCCAGACCAAATATTTGCCTGGCAAATTCATCATGCACCAATACTCAACTTCTAAAAACTACCTGTAAGTATTAAAATAGCTGAATCACTAATAGACTGGTCAGTGAACTTTCTAAGTGACTTTTTGTTTTTAAGATTCAATATTTACCCTGGCAAGCAATTGGTCTTTCTGCAAATGTTTAAAGAACGTAAGTGACAAGAATTTGATTTTCCAGCTAATAGAGTACCTTTATGCACTGCACAAGTCTTGAATACTGACCATAATCCAGTTAAGACATACTGATAAGAATTTTGGCCCTTTGACCCTGTGGTTGTCAGTCTAAAGCTGAGAATGGTGAGTCAGCTGTATGATAAATGAAGTGTACAGCTCTTGAATAAAGATTGCATTTAGTTCAAGATATTTGATAAGTATTTGAAGATTAGTACTTGCAGTGATGACACTGTTTAACCTTATACTTCTAAGTAAAAAATAGAACAATTCTATATAGCTATGGGCCTAGCTATCACCATGATTTTTTTATTCAGTCATTTAAGAATTGCAGTACCTTATAAAATGATTAACAGGTTGAAATGTATGGAGGACTTATTTGATGAGATTTAAAAGCTGCCTAGATTTTAGAGAATGTGATGAGAAATGACTAGCAGCAATTTAAGATTGTTGGTTGGTGGGATATTCTGACTTCTTTGCCAGAAAAACACTAAAACTTAGCTTTTTGAATTTGGGAAATAATTTTAACTGCCATCAAATCATCAGGCTGAGCCTTTTGTTCAACTGAAAATTTTTTCAATGCTTTAAAAGATAATAGTCCTATTTCAACGGAGAACAGAAGTTTTCTTATGCAGTGTGTACAGAACAATTTTGTGTTATTGTAAAGATTAATGAATTATAAATTTGTGTGGATTGTAGTCCATCTGACACATTAAGTGTTAAGCTGAGTTACATGGACTGTGAGGCATGGTAAACTAGGCAGCGAGAAATGAAGAGTGGGAGGCAACATAAGTCACATTCAAAATAGGTGGCCCTTGAATTGGTGAAATGATTGACACATGCCATGCAATTAAAAAAACAAACAAACCTGTTTTTCCCTGTAGAAAATAAGCCAAACTTCCTTAACTGAAGGTCAGCTGCTTCATGTGGCAATCTGCCTTGTCAGAGTGCCTTGGAAGGTAGAAATGTCCCCAGCTGGTTTTGAATATTGCCATTTCCGATAACAAACATTCTTTCCAAAGAACACATAAATTTGACCAAGTAAACGAAGTAACCTTTGATAGAGGAAAAGTTTGCTATGTCTTGGAAAATTAGTCAAGCAACTAAAAATATGGAAAGTGCATGAAGGTTGCTGCCTTTACAGGCTTAAATGGCACAGGAGTTACACACAGGACATGCAGTTGCTCTTTTGTTCTTGTACCAGATGAGCGCCACATACTTCCCTTTGGTCTTTCAACCCTTCCTCTGAAGTTGAAGGCAGTAGTGATGCTGAGGGAAATGTGATGTCAATGTTTAACAAGTTGCATGCTTCTACATTCTGAACTTTTAACTCCAAGTGCCATGTTCTTGTATACTTTATCTTACACTGTGAAATGTTGAACTCAATATAAAAACAGCAAACTGAGTAGTCAGACATTATCATTTGCTCTTTTTGCCTGTAAACTGCAAATGGCTAGCCTCTTACAAAGTTCAAATTTATGCATATTTGCTTATAAGCACAACTTAACCACCTCCTTTCTCCTGATGACTGTTGATCATATGGGCACTTGTCCCAATGCCACGTAGCCTCTAGTCTTAAGATGATTTTTACAGTTTGCATCTGCCAGCCATATTTATCCATAGAGAGCCTACCACTACTTGTATTCTATGGTCTCCAAATGCAAGCAGACAAGGAAAGCAAGTATGCTGCACATTGGTTACCCACTGCCCTTGGTGTCAAAACTTCAGTGTTGCTTCCAGCTGCAAAAGGGACAGAAAGACAAAAGGTGCAAAGTTCGAAGAGTTGTGACTTCCACAAGAAGAAAAAGGAAGCTTTATGGGCTGGCAACTCTGCCTCCTTTAGGCCATCTGAGAGCACAAGAGGCCTTGTGGCCTCCATTGGCTTTGCAAAAGGGTATCCTTAATGCATCAATCCAAAAGGAAAACAACCCTGACTGCTCTTTAGAAGGACAGATACTGAAGCTGAAACTCAAATACTCTGGCCACCTAATGAGAAGGAAGGAGTACCTGGAGAAGAGCCTTATGCTGGTAACAATTGATGGCAAAAGGAGAAGGGGATGGCAGAGGTTCAGGGGCTGGATGATTTCACTGGGGAGGTAAGTGTGGGGATGGGTGGACTCCTGAGAATGGTGGAGGACAGGAGAGCCCGGGGGATTGTTGTTCATGGGGTTGTCAGACGTGACTTTGCGACTGAACAACAATCCTTAATGCCTGTTTGCAGTGCAGCAATCTGGACTGAGCCATTGCCTCTCATTCGCCATTACTGCTTGTAAATACATGCACCTTTGGTTGTGCAGCCCTGTCACTGGAGAATGTGCTGACTAGTAATTTCACCTGTGCTGTCTAGATTTTATATCCCCTTTCAAAACTGAAACAGGACCAATGATTGGTGCAATGCTTCCTGGTGTGTCTGTTTTCCAATTGTGTAACAATAAGCCGCCCCGAGGCTTCAGCGAATGGGGCGGCGTAAAAATGTTTTAATAAATAATAAATAAATAAATAAATAATAATGGCAGTGTTTCCAAGATCACTGCAGACGGGGACTGCAGCCAAGAAATTAAAAGACGCTTGCTCCTGGGGAGGAAAGCTATGGCAAATCTAGACAGCATACTAAAAAGCAGAGACATCACCCTGCCAACAAAAGTGCGTATAGCCAAGGTTATGTTTTTCCCAGTTGCAATATATGGCTGTGAAAGCTAGACCATAAGGAAGGCTGAGCGCCAAAGGATTGAGGCCTTTGAATTGTGGTGCTGGAGGAGACTCCTGCAAGTCCCTTGGACCGCAAGGCGATCAAACCGGTCAGTCCTAGAGGAGATCAACCCTGACTGCTCTTTAGAAGGCCAGATACTGAAGATGAAACTCAAATACTTTGGCCACCTAATGAGAAGGAAGGTCTCCCTGGAGAAGAACCTAATGCTGCGAACAATAGATGGCAAAAGAAGAAGGGGACGGCAGAGGATGAGGTGGCTAGATGGAGTCACTGAAGTGGTTGGTGTGAGCTTGGGTGGACTCCAGGGGATGGTGGAGGACAGGAAGGCCTGGAGGAGTGTTGTCCATGAGGTCGCGATGGGTCGGACACGACTTCCCAACCAACAACAACAACAATGGCAGTGTTCAGACCCACACATTTGTGGAATTAAAAACATATGTTTCTGTTTCAAATCACTGAACAGTTTATGCATTGCAGTGAAGACTTCTCTTTTAAATAGAGAAAAGTTGTGTGATACAGTTTCCTGAGACTGTATCACTTCAGAATATAGTTGGAAAATGTTTAGACTGAATGTTCTGATGTCTAAATATTCCTGTTTGTGGAATAGCAGAAATGTCAGGAGAATATAGTCATGTGCACCATTCATTTCATAAATGTACATTCAGTAAACCTAACTGGCAAATTGACAGTAAATCAAATATTGTTTTGATTTGTGCAAGTACCTTACAACAGAAAATTTGGCTATTTGTTCTAAAAAATAGCTCTGTCTAAAAACAAGTTAAATGAATTTGA